CAACAGAGGTTAATAATGATCATAATCAATGTCTGTGTTAAGCTTATGTAAAATAATTAATAGGCAAGAAAACAACACGTCGTATTGGCCATGGCCACAGACCCTACATTATAGGGTCTGTATAGGCGAACAACTCGGGTAACAATTACATTCCTGAATTATCGCACATGTTCGTACAGTTGCCATGTACAGAGATCAAGCCAGTCGGCTATTTTCAGCATTTGATGCGATGACATTCCTGAATTGGCGGCATACAAAGACTTCGTCTCCGATAACATTCTTGAAATTGGCGGCGTACAAAACTTGCTTTATTCTCCCAAGAGTATCATTGGACCCTACTTGTGAGAATGTTTCTCACTGAATTAATACTAGGCAACTTAGTACTGGCAGCTTGATACCTATTTAAAGCAATGTATTTCCATTCATGCCTAGATTTAATTATTAAGTAATTATTTAAATGCGGTAACCAATCAATCACTTTTATCTGGAACATACAGTATAATCGTCTTGCAATAGGTACGCTTGTTTAATCGTACATATATAATTATAATGCAGGATAATTTAATTATATACTTTATTCTAAGATACAAATTAAGTTTCTTGATAAGTTACAGCTATAGTAATAAATTAAATTTCTTCTAAGCAATAAAGTTTCAACTTAGAATATTTTGCAGGATAAAATAAATGTAAAACACTTCTTGACTAAACATTATGCTATTAAAACTACTCTGTAAAACAATCAATCTTAATAATAAAGTATTTCGCCATACGTTCTTTCAAGAACATAAATAAGGTCTTGTTTTGTAAACTGGCATAGGGCCTATTCTATTTTTTCAGTAAACGTTTTCTCATACATGATTTCTAACAAAATGTTTTCATTACACAACTACTGGAGTAGGCAGTTGTTGATTATCAACTCACTCTTGCTAGACAAATGAACCTGCTTGCTTCATCAGATAAGACAAAAGATATCAACGTCTCCGTGATAACCTTAACTTTTAACCCTACTACTCTAGTATTGTTGCTTTTTATTGAGTAACAAACGATTGAATCTATGGCATGAATCGTGTACATATTTGAGTATAAAGAATTAAGAAACGAATAACATATGTATGAACTTTAGAAACACTTCAGTGCAATTTTCAACCTATTTAAATTATATATGTATACATATTTAAATATATGTGGCCTATATATATAAATCATGATACAATATGTTTATGGCCTATGTAATAAATAATGAAACAATATTAGTATTGTTGCTTTTTATTGAGCAACAAACGATTGAATCGATGGCATGAATCGTGTACATATTTAAGTATATAGAATTAAGAAACGAAAATCATATGTATGAACTTTAGAAATACTTCAGTGGAGGAAACCAATTTTCAACCTATTATATAAATTATATATATGTATTCATATTTAAATATATATGGCCTATATATAAATTATGATATAATAGATAAAATCTAAACTAGCTTTATATATAATAATAATAATAATAAGAAACGAATACCATACTTTATTGGAGAAGATATCGAAAGTTTTGATGTTATATTGGAGCAATGGTTTTATTATATTTTTATGATGTTTACAATTCTCAATTTATTTATTTTTTCAATAGCTATTTTTTAAGTAATTTTATATAGTATGTAGGATAGTATGTAGGCCTATATATAAAATAAAAAAGAGGGCCGAGTTGACTGGGGTCTAGTTGACTCGAAAGCTTTGTATTTAGCAAGCGGTATTGTATCATTAACTGTGAATGCGTCACTGGCGCTCCATACACAAACACACATCGGCGGCCGTTCTGGACAGCGGCTGCTCTAGCTAGCGGCCGGTATGGGCCTAGGCCAGCCTAAGCCTATAGCAGCAGACTTGTTATTTAGGCCTAGGCCTATAGAATATGACTGAAAAGATTTAATTATATATGCAATGTCACTACAACATTTGTGAGTTAAAACCTAGAATTGAACGTTTTTGCTAGATTTGGTTTTCCTTTTATTTACTATTCTTGAGTGTCAATACTCTGTACTCAGTAGAGAATACCAAAAACTGAGACAGAGTGTACCCCTCTCTTGTTCCCTTTTGACTAGTGGCCCGGGACTTACGCCCTCTGCTGGTTTTTATAGAAAACTTTTCTTGAAAATATGATGGGCCGCCTTTTATCTTTTTGAAGAATTTTATATTGTAAGTATTTGTGTTTTTCTCGTGAAGGGCCTCCACTCGACAGTGATTGATTTTACTTTTGGAGTGTCCTGTCTCTTTTTTTGTACTTTTGTGATTGTTCTTTGCCGTTTCTGTTTATGTACATTTTAATTGTTTGAGACAACTAAATGAAATGAAATGAAATAAATAAAATAAATGTTTATTTTTTTTCTCATCAGAGAGGTGGTTATAATAGTAGCTGGTGGTAAATTTGTTTTCTCATTCAGACCCTTAAATGTAGCTACAAATAGAAAAGAGGTCCTCAATGTTAATGTGAGTTCAATTTGTTTTTTATTTGCATGATAACTGTTCCTAAATTACAATTTTGTATGCAATATTTCAAACCCAGAATTCCTAGTGGTAAATGATCTTTATGCAATTATTTTCTCACTCTACATTTTTCACACATAAATTTATCACTGTTTTCTTCATTGCTTTTCTTACTAACTTTATATTCCAGCTTCATGCTGTCTACAGTGCAGGGGTCTCATGTTTCCTGCAAGTTGCTGGAGTCTCCCTGAAATTGGGAAGAGTTCCCTTGAGTCACTCCTGTGGACAAGCAAGAATTTCCTGGAAAATAACGCATCCCCTGCAAATTTAATTTACTATTTTCATGTTTTCGCTATCTGTAATATAAATTGTCTTCCAGAAGTTAGTGTCGACAGGTATTGACGACATGCACAGCAAAAGAAAAAAAAAAGTTAGATGTGTTTAAAGAAAGCTTATTTAAACAAATCTCCTATTATAAGAAAGTGGCTTGTTTCAACTTGGAACCCCTGACAGCGCTTGGTTTGATCGACTGATTGCCGGGGTCCCAAGTGGGAAGAATCCACATCCAGGAGATATGTTTAATTGTGCTATACTTAACGCATAAAAATATATTTAGCTGTGGATGGTGATACCCTTGTCACTGACATCTGGGAGACAATTGATAATACAGTATTAAAAATTGGTAAAAACATGCAAATATAGTGAATTTGGGGGAAGTAGGTTATTTTCTGGGAGATTCATGCTTGCTCGCGGGAGTGCGTGAGGCCTTTCCGATTTCCGGGAGAGTCCTGCGACTTCCAGGAGACTTGGGACCCTGTGATTAAATGATTTAATTTAATTGTAATATAACTGTATTTAGTTCATATTAATTCCATATTTTATACTAATCTTTTCATATGTTGATGAATTTAATTTTCTATACACATGCACATCTTCTGTACTATTCATATCTCTATATCATATCTATATATTATAAACTTTTTAAATTGATTAGGCCTAATTATCAATTTTTTGATCCAGGTGTCTATATTTAATCCATTTATGTCTATTTGGTTACCTGTTATTCTGTGATTCACCCTTTTTATTATGATTTTTAAAAGTAGAAGTTTTGTTGTAATATTGTACTTGTCAATTAAGACAAAATGTTGCTTGTACAATACCTGTGGTCAATGATACTCTGATCTCATAACTAATATCAATATAATACTGTATAAAGTAGACATTTTCACATTGATTACAAACATACATTGTCATCATTTATGTTGTGGATGATGTTTTAAAGAACAATTTAATGGTGTGTTTGGCCCAATTTATTCTGCACATTTTAAGTCAAGTTAGGTCTCGCCTCCCTTTGTAGTTCACACTATCTTAGTTTAAAGTGTTTAATTTTGTTTATTCTTAGTCTGTGCAAGCAATGCCCCTCTCCCATCTACTTTTGTTAGCCACATGTTTTTACTTGGTAACACAGTTAGTAAATAAGTATAAATGATTGTTCCATAGATTTGCTACATGTAGGTTATGGTTGAACATTTTTTTTATTTGGCTTGACTGTACTTTGGACTTTTATAGTGATATCACAATCAAATGATGGTACTAATGATCAGACCACTCTAAGTTCCCGCTGTCTATGCTTATGCTGTGTAGCACGTCATGTTGACCCTGACCTTATTATTTGTAATTATTATGAATATTTAACAGACAAGAGCGATACTTTGTTGGTTCTCGTGATTAATATTCCACCAATAAATTAATCAACTTGGTTTTATGGTATTATTCATTAATACAAATTGGAAAATTGGCAATTACTTTACCAGTGTTGGCAAAACTGTACCCGTAGTAAGGAGGAAACCGGCGTGCCAGTTGCCTATCCTAGAGAGTCAGACTCGTGTCATGCCTGGTGAGCACATTATGTCACAAGTTTACAGTCAATAGTTTTAGCAGTCATCAGTTTATTCATGTTTACCCTAGTAGTTGAAATGTCTCTAAATTACCTGTATAGGAGTGCTACCTGAATTATGCAGTTAGTGTGGGTTTTCTTTCATGTTCATGTTCTATTTTATGGAAAGTTTGCTAATATTTTTGTGAGCCATGAGCCAGAAATATTGTGTAGTAAGCCATAAAATAGATCAATCAATCCACCAACTACTGTACATTCAAATATAAATTCTCCTTTAGCCCTTTATCTTTCCTTTTCGCTGTGAATTATGTAATTGCTGTAAAGTATGACATCACAGTTACTTTTTCCCAGTTAGTATAGAGTACTACAGTGTTACGTCATGATACCACATGATACTACTCCGTTACTATCGGCGACGCAAAATGGGTTCAACCGACGCCATTTTCTCCACTGACAAACTATTGATCCCAAATTCTAACGAAATTATTAAGAAGTTGTATCTTAATTTTTCTTTGTAAAATGTTAATTGATGATTAAATGTGTGTTCGATAACTATTATAATGCGAGCTTTTTGTGTTTTTAGTACATTTTGATGGTAAATTATTAGGTTTTAAAATGCCTATTCCAGAAAGCCTTTCTAAACCATTAAGATTATGAAGTCATTCAGGAGTAATGAATGGTAGCCAACATCTAGAGGGCGCCACCTGGTGTTGTGACGACACGACTCAGCATGTGGTACTCTATTGTTGATGATGTTTTTTTTTTTTTTTTTTTTTTAATAGAATATAGGCCTAATATTTTACTAATCTCTATAATCAGTATATAATACAGTATACTTTCCATGAAGATCTTTTATTCATAACTCAATCCATATGTACAATGATGAGTTTAATAGATAAACTACAGTAGCTAACTCAAGTTGTAAATAATTGTATTATTTTGTATATTCTGTTTTATTTATGTCCTTCGATTATTTTATACTAATTTTTTGCATCGGGAAGACGAATTTTACTTGTATTTTATGTACTAGTGACAATAAAGGAATCTTGAATCTTGTATCTTGTATGTACCATATTGTTCTGGCATCATTGCTGAACTGTTCAGTATGCATTTTATACTGTACATGGTTATGTTTGTTGGTAACTTGATTCCACTATGTTCACATCATTGGTGTGCGTTGCATGTGTTTTAATACAGTTAGTAAACTGGGTATACAATTGTTCTGACATGTTGCTGTTGCTGCTGTTGTTGCTCTTGCTGTTGTTATTATTGATGATATTCTTATTGAAACTTATTAATTTATTTTGATCTTTTAACTGAGCATTGTGTTAGATTTGTCCATGTTTCACAGCAGATGGTGTCTGTTCTAAATAACTAAAAGTACGTTAAGGTGCGTTTCTATCATTAACCAATCACATGTACGCGTTTACAATTTCAAGTTTCCTATTGGCCAGTGATTCGATCATCATATTCTTGGTATCCGGATCGGGATTTTCTTGTATAGAAGCACAGCAACTAACGGTCTGCAGGATCCGAATCCTGCTAACCGTTAGCTACCGTGTGAGAACATAGCCTAATTTACTTTCGTTTTTATAATCAATTCCATATTCATATTTTGTGCTCGTACTAAGGAGGTATAAAAGTAAGTCGTACACTGTAGTTACAGTACGTTTGGTGTTAATAGTAATAGCATTTACATTTCATTGCTTACATCAGCCACTGGAATATCAATCATCCTGTAATGAGTAAGATTTTATTTCTTTCTTATAAGCTTTGTCTTTTTTTTGGTGGATGTAGTTGTTTATTGCATCATTTTCATATACATTTATTTATACTTTTCTATTGCATTAATTTATATTCATATTTTTTGCATGTAGGCTTTATTCATTATTAAACTTTTAATTAAATTGCTAATTTAAATAACCCTTGATTTTGAGACATAAGTAAACTTGCTTGCTTTGCTACACTACTACATTACTTACAGTAGACTTTACAGGACTGCTGCTTACACTTATCTCAATTTCACACAAGACAAAGAAAGACGTTTGTTAAATGTTGCACAGATTTTCCGAGATACCACTCTAAGATCGCCATCATCTTCACACAAGTCAAACCATGCTAAATAGTTGGTACAATATGGTGCAATTAAATTTGGCCTTTAGTTTTCTGTAGCCGAGAGTTTCTTTTAATTCTTTACCATCTAACTCCTACATTACTAGGCCTAGAGACCCCATTCCACTCCTAGGGTCTAATGTACAATATGATCATATGAATTATTATTACATTAGCTTTTGACGATAATCTAAATTGTCTGGCACTGTAGTGTTCGTTTATAGTTTTACGAACATCTAGACCTGCATTTTGAGAATGGTCTGGCCCAAGGACAACCTTAAGGTTGAGTACAACAAGTACTGTATGCCAACTACTACCTCTTACATTTCTATTACTTCCACAACCTTGATGTATAGTACTTACTACTAGTATTAAAATCTTAAATACATCCTTAGGTACTACACTATAGCTTTGTATTTTACATTACTGTCCCACTATACAATATTTTACTAACTGAAGCAGACACACTACACTGTACTTACAGTAAAATTCTACATTTACTATATTACTAACTAGTAATTAATTAATACAATTGCTTGCTACTTACATTAGTTCCTTTCTACTTTCTGCTGCTACTTAATTACTATAGTACTGGAAACTGTGGCTTACTTTACTGAATTCCAAAGTACCCTACAGGACAAGTACTTAATTGCAAGATTGACTTAAAAGCTTGAATTTCTTATTAAAAATCGCTACACTGTTGTTACAGTGTTTTCACTGCAATTTTTATAATGCATAGCTGTCCCCAAAGAAATCGGAAGACTCTCCGATTTGACTGACCAATCAGTGAATTGCCAAAAGCTGTTGGCAGTAACATGTAGCGACTTCAGGGAAATAAGGTTTTACATTACTGTAGCTTGCTATCATTACAGTACCTTGTTGTACTACTTAACACATTTGCTGCCAGAGACGTGGGTTCACGTTCAACCGGGTTCACTCGGGCCACCAAGGATGTGAGTTCATGTCCGCAGTTGTCCAACAGTAGTCACCAGAACACAAACTCTCGTCCTGGAGGTTAAGGGAGAGACCCAGAATAATGATCTATTAAATATATACTGTGTTTGTCCGTGTTTCACTACAGTTGTTGGAAATGCTTTTTAGTATGGTGGCGCCCTTTATGCCTTGGCGTATGGGATTGAACTAAGAAAAAAGGCTTAGCAATCAATGTTTTACCTTTTTTGGTTTTTTTTAAATTCTACTAACATTCTGTAAATCATACCTAGAAAAGATACATACATAATGACGAAAGACCATGCTTAACATTTCAATTTCTATCTTCTTTTCTTTTTTTTTTTTTGACATACTACATTGCATTCATGAGTACAAAAGGCTCAAAATTATAATTTGAAAAGATTACTTGAACCTGCTCACAGCCCTTGACTAAACATGGCAATGTGCCAACGTGCATAAAAATTAAGCCTAAGATTTTTACATGACGTAAACAAGGCTAGATTGGATAAATATTCAATCTGGTTCAATATTTACAAAACATTACATCAAAAAAGGGAACATTACTTTGTCTAACATGTTTTCTGTTGTATTTGTTGTTCATTGCTTACATTTAACTTCACTTAAAGGGTTTCTCATAATGGCAAGAAATTATGATAATAACTGTAATGATATACTATACCACTCACACCAATTTAAAAAAGTGTGCATGTGTGTAAACCCCGGTGTAAACCTTAGATTGTAGGTAGTCCAAATTATTGCTGCATGCATTAATGAATATAATTGTGTATTTAAATTAATTTTTAAAAGTCAATAATATGATGGTTTGATGATGACCTTAGTTCACCTTATCTTTTTAAGCAACTTTTTAAGCTGAGATTGATTAATCTTAGTGAACTGTATATAAATCTTCATTTCTTTCTTTGTTATAAGATATCATAAGCAGCTACAGTTTTTGTCCACATTGCCAGCAAGACAAGTCCTTGTATATAAATCTTCATTTCTTTCTTTGTTGTAAGATATCGTATAAGCAGCTATAGTTTTTGTCCACATTGCCAGCAAGACAAGTCCTTGTATATAAATCTTCATTTCTTTCTTTGTTATAAGATATCGTATAAGCAGCTATAGTTTTTGTCCACACTGCCAGCAAGACAAGTCCTTGTTGATACCCCAGCATAATATTTCATTAACACTTAACAGTACAAATAGCACGCTGTCAATGAGAATACTGGATTGGAACATTGCCCTCAGTTACATCTAGCATAGAGCAAAGAAAGTTTCTTTGCTCTATGCATCCAGTAGCGAGAATACTTTGTTGGTACTCGGTCTGTAAGACAAGACAAAGCTTATAATTTCTGCTACATTTTAAATTATTCCAGTTATGCTTCTTGGCTTTTGATTTTTACATTTCTTTGAATTGAAACCAACTGTACACATATTCTTGGCATGCAAGAAAATAATTCCAATAATAAGCTTTTACTCAGATGCAAATCTGTCAAAAGTTCGGTTGAGTGGCTTGGTGCTGGGTTCATGATTAAGTAGTGCGAACCATGTTAAAGCATTTGTGAAAGGATTTTCCTAGTTCAATGCCCCAAATAGGTTTTTTTCTTTGCCAGTATGACAACAAAACATTTACTGAACCATGAATTGTTTTTACAATATGTTTCAAATTTTTTCAGAAACTCTATTTTATCTAAATTTTTTGTGTTTCTTTGTGTATAACATCTGAATGTATGTCGTCATGCAAACCAAAAACTCCATTAATACTGTAGCTACCATAATATTATTACCATTTGTCTTATTCTTAAAGCTAATTAATTTTTCTAGGATGTTTGTTGTTCATATTTCATTGTCATTACTGGGTACACCAATATATTGTATCGAATCTGATGTAATTTATACATCCAATCTCATTATTTTGAATAAATTTGCCCTTAGTTTGCACTAAATGTATCTGCTCACACTGGCATCCACTTGAACTAGCATTCGCTCATATTGACTGGCATTCATTTGAGCCAATCCAACAATACGAAAACAGATGTTTTATAACCAGCTTTAGATATTAATTATTCTAAAAGGGATAGGCCCTACTGTATTTACTATTGTCATTTGACAGAAACAATACTGTAAATGCTCGAATAATCTTATAAAATTTTTGGAGGCTTCAGTGCAGCGCTTATTCGAGAGACAGAGCTTCAAAAAAAATATTGGCGTGGGCCGGCGGTTTTCATGCCCATCCCCATGTTACCTATTTCAGGTATTCCCGTAGTTCGGTAGACCTATCATATGTCCTATCCTATGATATCATTTTGATTGCATTGTTGTAAATCTAGTGAACTGCAGTTGCAATCCTCTTTTGCATCACTAAAAATGATGAAAATTATGGTGATAATGATTGTTGGTGGTTGAGGAAATATGATGGTGATGTCTGTGAGTCTGATGAAGATATAATGGGCTACCGTAAAACCTTGAATTGAAGCCCTGGGCGGCGGGTTCTTTTTCTTGCGAACTTTGGCTGTGCTTCTTTTTAAAATAAGCCAATTTGTATTTTGAACTGTGCATGCTCGTAGTTAAGGTGAATCAACATAAACAGTTATATAATTTTACTTTGGGATTGGCTGTTGCAATTCCAACAACCGATCGCAATGCAATGCTAGCCAGAATGGCGTATTGTTGAACTATTGTTATGAGATGGCCGTAGAGATGTTGATTCACCACAATTCGATGACACAATTTACTCCAATTAACTCAAGGCTTACAAACTTGAATTATATCAAAACAATGACGTAATATAACTTCAGATATTTTAGCAAATTGTTTGCTGTTTGTGATATGGATAAGCTTAATGCATATCATATCTTTTTAATTGGCATGTTTCATTTTTGAAGGGGGTCAACTATCTCAGACCATTTCATTATTATTTCTATATGTTTCTATGTAGTCATTTATAGAGTTTTGATTTATCATATGTTTTGCTTTCCTTGTAGGGTCACAAAAATGTGGAAAAGAATGGAGGCCTTAATGGCAGTGTTCACAACAGAAAACACTTCTCCTTGTCCAACAAATTGTTCAGGTCATGGACATTGTACAAATGGGGCCTGTGTTTGCATGGTAAGTACGATACACTTTTATTTATAAGAACCAGTAAAATTTTGTCCAGGATCAGTGTTCTTATGTTTCTTGATGCTACTGTCTATGACTACCTTAATTTTTATTGGTTTTTCAATTTAAAAAAATTAAAAACTCATTTGACATTTAACTCAACCTCAATTTGTTCCTATTTTGTTTTTATTGTTGGAGTATTCTTTTACTGTACACAAGAACACATTTTATAAGAACAATTCTCTGTCCCTTTTCTCATTTATCCATTTTATATTCCTCTTCCTACCTACCTCCTCTTTCGTATCATCTTCCTTTTATCCCTCCTCTTCTCTCACCCTTTTCTTCTTTTGCTCTCTTTCCCAACCTTGTTCTCCAATCACATTGGTTATTTAACATTACCATGTACACTAGTATTCTATATACCTGAAGCTAATTAGTAGGCCCTATTGAGTGGTATTTTTTGATATGGCCATAGTACAGTAGTTTTCCATTATGTACTCAATTAAAATGAGATGTGAATACACAGTCAATGCCACTGGTACTTTATTGCTTCTACATTGGCTGAAGGCCAGTTATGTTTTATTACCAAATGACCTACTGTGAGGCCAGAATAGGGGATTCTGTATAATGCAAAGCAAAGGCAATTAATACTTTCATAAATTTTCTAGCATATAAATTAAGCTATTTCATTTCTCTTCATGCTGTAAAACCATGCCATAAAATGTTTATTATTTTTGTTGTAAAAGTGGTTCATGTGGTTTCATACTTAATTTAATGCCTATGGAAAGGTTGTGGGGAAGGTTAAAATTGTTAAATTTACTGTACTGTACATTGCCTGAAGCTACTGTAGTGTCCATGCTAGCACCTTATAGTACTATGTTCTTTGACAAAAAAATGTTGCATATTAATTGTCTGAAATTGATTTTTATTTGATTGCTGATGGACGACATAAACACCTGTTTGATTAGTCTGAATTCATGTTCAAGCCTTCCGAATTTGGCTGAGGAAATCCTAATTTCAGAACTTTTGTCCTAAATTTTAAAATCATGAATCCTGATTTCTCCCAATTAATATTAGTTTACTAGTAATTCCTGCCGTCAAACTTTGTACTAATTCATTGAAACTCATTTGAATTCAGGGGAATGATGGTCTGTATGACAAATTAAAATCATCATCTCAATATTTTTTTATTAGAAAATGTATATAATACCAATACTGTTTACAAAGACTTTTTTAATATAAGAAAGTACCATGACTGGTTGGTGCATCAGTTTGGATTTATGCTCTCAACCATACAGTGTTGGAAGTCAGGCACTACATAAAGTATCCTACCAGTGGTATGAATGGTTAAGTACAATATAATATGAAATGATGTATAGTATGTTGAGTGTACTTGTCTATGCAGAATGTACTAATGAATATTAATCAGGAAGTGGAAGAGTATATAAATTTTGTATATTGTCTGTTTTATACAGGAAATATTGGGAAACGGAAGTGGAAAGCACTACATAATACTAATGATTAATATCAATTGTGAACTTGGAGATTTTTGGAAATGGCATATTTTTTATTTACAAAAGTAATTATGATATTAAATGTTATTAACTAAATAAACTTAAATTATTATGTTTTTCAGGTTCAGTACAAAGGAGGTGAATGTGAGAATGTGAACAATGGTTATTTCATTTCCTTTGGTTTTATATTCTTTGTTCTTTGTTTGATATCAACAATTCAGTTGGTAAGTTGATTCAGCAGAGTTTGAATGTAAGGTTGTGGACTAGCCATTACTAGATCAAATCTAAATATTTTTCAATAAAAACATGCATTGCTATTGCCATGTAAACACTAACATTAAAAAATTGTATAATTTTTAACAAGAACGATATTATGTGCTTATAATAATTTCTAAAATACATTTTTATTTGCAAGGTTTTTAATCAGTGAATAGTTTTGATCTATCCTCATTGGAAATTGTTCAGTGAGTTTGAGGATTTTTCCAAGTTTAACAAAGACTTATTCTATATTGTAGATTCAGATCTTTGAAATATATAACTCTGGTTCCAACATACTTTGAAGCTACTACAGTGTATAGTACAAGCATGAGCATTTAAGCCATTTTTTTTTAGACTAGCAGTATAAAGTAGGTCCAAGTTATCGGAAGTAAAATTGGTAAACGGATCATCTACTGTAGTTTAAAATACCACAAAAACCGTTATAATTACATTACCATTCAAATGTCAGGGTTTTTGTATAGTATGTGGTCTCACTGCTAATTCAAGACCATTTTTCCACAGGGGCACATGTTGTAATTTAAAGCGAGGCTCTAGAGGGAAAAAATGTTATCTTATAAAAATATTCCAAGTCATTGAAAGGATGCTTGAAGAAATATAAGGAATATAGAAATAAAATACAATTTTTTTTTAAATAAAAAAAACTGGGGAAAATGGGAGTATATTAATACTAATCGATAATTATGGTAGTTGTTAATTTTGATACATTTATTATGACAATAAATTTTACTGAATATTGTATTCATTTTTTATTACATTTTAAATTTTTACTTCCTATAGATCTTGTGCATAAAAGCAGAATATGAACGCTCAAAGACCAGATCGCTTGCAAGTGCTTGTCGCATTACAACACAGAAGTTATTGTATCTCATTGTAATGATTGCAACTTTGAGTCGTGGTCTTTATTTCAGCTTACAGGTAAGATCTTGACTTTTATGTATGTTAAGCCAAATTTAAAAAGAAAAATATGTTTCTTGTCATTTCCCCAAAGTATTCTTTTTTCTGGAATAAGTACGAATTGTCATTAAAAATTTACCGTTATGTTATCATCCTCTTTTAAAACAAACATGGACAGGAAATTTGTCACAAAATTGTTTGACCTTACAGTATTTTAAAAACTCATACTACCCCTATTATTAGTAATACGAATGCAGTGTTCTCCCCAGGCCCTTGAAGTGTCACGGTACCGTGACGCTTGTGACGATCGTCACGGTGCACTGTGACGCTCCCAAGCTGGCCGTGACGCTTGATGCGTCTTCCGTAATGCTTTGAAATATCGTCAATAAAATAATTCAAAATAAACATTGCTGTCCATGTATCCAGTTTAAAGAGGAGTGAGTGTGAAAATATTTTAAACACAAAACAATGCTATCTTACGATGTTGGTTTATCAGCCCAAGTTCATGCTTTATCTTTTTGCGTTCATTTTGCATTATCTTTACCTTGAGAATGTCACTTTCATTTCAAAACACGATCGTTTGCTTGATTCACACAAACTGTTTTCTTCAAAACTGCCCATGCATATCCATGCGCATGCCCAGAACGATCTATATGGATTTCCTCACCACATGTACTTTTTGACAGCGAAGCCACAACGCGATCGTGTTTGTGTTTAAACAATTAGGCAATAGGCCCTATGTTGAATTTGGTTGTTTTTTTGATAATAAACGTTTTTAATATGATAATACTATTCAATAAAGACAAGTAAGTTCAGATAAGCGTTAGTCAATCTAGGCAGCCTACGTGCTATAGCTAGGCCTGGACTGCCCAGTGCTAGTCGTACTACTAAGTGGTTAGCCTACCAAACGAATAGGTAGACAAGAAATACGCAATGATTCACACACAGTAGTACGTAGGCATATGCCTATTAAAAACGAATATTTTACAAACAAACCTGTTCTATGAAGACCAATTTCCTTGGTTTAACATGTACATAAAATTTACGTTCTGCTATGATATTAGTGGCCTGTTTTAATCCCAAGTTTTGACTTGCCAAGTAGTTTGAAGCTAAAATTTAGCCTAGGCCTAAACTATGTTGGCCAAAAATTGCCATCCTGTTGCAATTCTGGCTATGCTATAATAGTAGTACAGTATATGGTCACTAATTTCACAAAAAAATTTGTTAAAAATGGAAATCTATAGTCATTTCAAAAATCTTAAAAAGCATTTTTGATGTCGGAGAGTGCCATTTCCGGGAATCTAGGTCATTATTTTAAAAAATTGGGGGGAACGTACCATGATGCTTGACCCTCATCCTGGGGAGAACACTGCCATTTATGTTTGTACATTTTATTCCCCAAAAATAAAAACCAAAGAGGTGGTTTAAAATCTTCAAATTTTTGGCTACTGTAGTTTACGATGGTCTATGCATTCATTTTTTTTTTTTTTATTCGAATGCCACATGAAAAACTATGCATAAAATATTTATATTTTAATATGCATCATTTCGTACATTTACAGTATTATTTTTATTATAGTTAATTACCTTCTTGTGACAACAAGCTCAAATAATTTGGTGTTCCCATAATTTTAGAGTGCCATTCAAAAATTGTTCATTTGTGTATGGAAAAGCCACGTCAGAATGTGTAACATACATAATTTCCGATATTACTTGTACAATAGCTAATTAATTAATTACAGTCAAGCTAAAACAGGTTAATAATGTGGATGTTTCACAATCTTTCAATAATGAATTGCCTGCAACATCAATAGAATATTTGAGCTGATCCCCATATCTGTATACAGTGATGCATTTTACGAGCATCATTGATTATATTATTCGTAAGCAGAAAAATCATTTTTACAGATTTACCAACTTGAGGTTCAAACAGAGTATAAATCTGTGATCATAATATTAACATTGCTTTTGGAACCATCTAATTTAGTAACCATAAAGAAAACAAATCTAAATTTCAAAGTATGCATTCAGTTCAAGGCCTAGGCCCTATACAGGTAAGATCTTGACTTTTATGTATATTAAGCCAAATTTAAAAAGAAAAATATGTGTCTTGTCATTTCCCCAAAGTATTCTTTTTTCTGGAATAAGTACGAATTGCCATTAAAAATTTACCGTTATGTTATCATCCTCTTTTAAAACAAACATGGACAGGAAATTTCTCACAAAATTGTTTTGCCTTACAGTATTTTAAAAACTCATACTACCCCTATTATTAGTAATACGAATGCAGTGTTCTCCCCAGGCCCTTGAAGCGTCACGGTAGCGTCACGGTACCGTGACGCTTGTCACGGTGCACCGTGACGCTCCCAAGCTGGCCGTGACGCTTGACGCGTCTTCCGTGATGCTTTGAAATATCGTCAATAAAATAATTCAAAATAAACATTGCTGTCCATGTATCCTAGTTTAAAGAGGAGTGAATGTGAAAATATTTTAAACACAAAACAATGCTATCTTACGATGTTGGTTTATCAGCCCAAGTTCATGCTTTATCTTTTTGCGTTCATTTTGCATTATCTTTACCTTGAGAATGTCACTTTCATTTCAAAACATGATCGTTTGCTTGATTCACACAAACTGTTTTCTTCAAAACTGCCCATGCATATCCATGCGCATGCCCAGAACGATCTATATGGATTTCCTCACCACATGTACTCCTTGACAGCGAAGCCACAACGCGATCGTGTTTGTGTTTAAACAACTAGGCAATAGGCCCTATGTTGAATTTGGTTGTTTTTTTGATAATAAACAACGTTTTTAATATGATAATACTAATTTACAATAAAGACAAGTAAGTTCAGATAAGTGTTAGTCAATCTAGGCAGCCTACGTGGCCGAAGTTTTCCCAGCTATAGCTAGGCCTGGCCTGCCCAGTGCTAGTCATACTACTAAGTGGTTAGCCTACCAAACGAATAGGTAGACAAGAAATACGCAATGATTCACACACAGTATTACGTAGGCCTATGCCTATTAAAAACGAATATTGTACAAACAAATCTGTTTTACGAAGACTAATTTCCTTGGTTTGACATGTACGTAAAATTTACGTTCTGCTATGATTCTAGTGGCCTGTTTTAATTTCAAGTTTTGACTTGCCAAGTAGTTTGAAGCTAAAATTTAGGCCTAGGCCTAAACTAGGTCGGCCCAAAATTGCCATCCTGTTGCAATTGTGGCTAGGCTATAATAGTAGTGCAGTATATGGTCACTAATTTCACAAAAAAATTTGTTAAAAAATGGAAATCTATAGTCATTTCAGAAATCTTAAAAAGCATTTTTGATGTCTGAGAGTGCTATTTCCGGGAATCTAGGTCATTATTCTAAGAAATTTTCCCCAACCATTGGTGGAAGAACGTACCATGATGCTTAACCCTCATCCTGGGGAGAACACTGAAATGCCATATTACAATCTTTTTGTTACATTGTTGGGATACTATAGAGTGCATAAATGTACATGTATGATCTACAAAAGTATCCTTATAATATGCAATACAATTATTTTCTTTATTTAAACGCAAAATATGATGAGTTGCTGTAAGGTTTAGTGTCCAGAATTTGAATCCACTCATGTAAGAAAGACCTTGCTACCTGATTTTAAGATAGAATAAATCGGCCAAACCTAAGAAGTTTGTGGCTTAGTTCAAACAAATTATTTTTCGATCATGTTATCAACTGAATCAAAATCTGTTCACTCAAATCCCTATTTTCTTTCTCTATGCTCAATCATAATATTTGGCAATGGCAATTACAAAGCACCCGCATAATGCACAAGTGTAACTGGAGGAATTGATCATTCAACCAGAAAATCAGTATGTTTTTTTCCTCATGTTTGTATCAATAACAACAATAATCAGTGGCGGATCTAGAAGTTTTCAAATGTTGTATGTGTGGGGGAGAATCAGTGGTGCTTATTTCAATACATAAGATTGATATGCATTGAAATTTTAAAATTTATAATAGTGGCAAAACTGGAGGCACATTTTTCCCATGCCCCCTTTTGGAACTGTGCTTGATAATAAAAACTTACCTTTGAATTAATACTGCTAAGTGCTTTTTGCTACTATAGGATTTATTGAAGCAAGGCTGATATATGTATGAAATTGGATATCTATAAGGAAATTATAGGTAAAAATTGATGGCAAAAACTAGAATGAATTATACTCATAAATGAAAACACATTCATCATGTTCTGTCCTGGTTTACATTATTTACCGACGACCAATAATTCAGTCGTCAACATTAGTTGATTTGTGAATACTGTACTTTGTTTCCTTTTTTTTTTAGCTATATCATTTTTTGAGAAAGGAAACCTTAAAATCACATGTTGACAATAAAGAAGTATAATGCATACTCCAAGTATTTATATACACTGATGATGACATAATGTTGAAATATTGAATTGCAACACGATGGCATGTATTGTACAGTACTTTCTTATCCGAGATTAATCAGTAGTCCTTTCGGTCCATGTTTAAAATTGTTTTGAAGTTTCATTTTAAATTTATTTGGAACAACAAAATTTAGGGGCTTATTTTTTAATGATTGTTTTAGGTCCTTGTTCTGGCTTATGTCTAATGTAGTCATGGCACAGTATGACATCATGGTGGTCGGGTGATCACAGTATGACATCATCTCAAATATCTATTGCATCATACATCTGTTTGTTGCAACATTTATTTGAACTTCAAAGTTCATCATTTTTTTACTTCATCATCATGAGAGTAAAACATTCACCATTAGGAAAAATTTTACATTGTATTCTTATGAAAAACAAAAAGTTATAATCTCAGAAGGACAACAATCGATGTATAATAATAATAATAATAATAATAATAATAATAATTTTTTAACCCTAATTTTTTTATATTCTGTACTCTTTAATGTAATTGTAACTTACACTTTGCCCTTGGCTACAATTAGTTACAAATATTTTTTTGTTTCTGAATGAAGTAATTACTGTAATCATTTCATTATGTATTCTTTTAAAGTGGAATGAGGCAGTCACAGAAAGGAATATATGTTTCGTACTCTTTTAAAAATGATGTAAAAATGGATGGCACCCATATTGTATGTAAAAAATCAGTCATTGTGAGATATTTATGTAATGTAGAAACGCTATGTTCTTTTTGTTTATGGTTAGGGGAGTGAGTCGTTTCTTTATTCATAACCAAATCATAGCCAAGGCTGAATTTCATGATCTTTACAATATAGAAACATAAAGACATAAGACAAACATTGGTAAGAAGAGCATTCATGTGAAACATTTAAACAAATACACATAGAAACCACTTCTAAATTGAAAACTATTCTAACATGAGCCAATACAAATGTAAACATCACCATTTTGTGAGCTCATAATTAACTACAGTACAACTGGTAGAAATTTCTTGCATGAGACATCACCTTGACACCATATAAGTTCAATTATGATTACCAACATGGGGTAGGCAAGCAATACAAAGCATGATAGCTGGTGGGCAGTAGGCCTGTGTGATTTAGTTTGTTCTGTTGGTCCTCCCGAACCGCTGACCCAGAGGCTCACTGCTGTTCTTGTTCTTGTTACCAAAACTTTTCAAACTTTAAAAGCGTCCAGCGTCGTCAGTTTTGAACGAACATGCATGAAATTTTGTACACATGAACTAGAGGTGATTTCCAACAAACATTCCTTGCCCTTTTTTTAAGTTGGACCCCAGGGATCTCCCTACACCTACAAAACCAAACAGGCGTTTCAAACTTTTAAAGCATCCAGCATCGCCAGTTTTGAACGGACGTGCAGGAAATTCTGTACAAATGCAGCACGTCGCATGAATGGCACGGTCGGTTAAGGATGTGTTCTAAAGAACTTAAGGTCGTGAGTTCAAAATGCGTCTTGGTATTCAATTTGTTTTTCCCAATTTATTTATTTTAATTTTGTACAAATGATCATTCTAAATAATGTTTTTTTTTGTACAAATAAACATTCTAACTATTAAAAAATTTCTGTCTTATTGGCTCTTCCGAAAAACCCAATATAATAACTTGTGCCTGTACCGTATTTAAGAATGGAGGAACGTGCGGACCTAGTGAGCGGTCGCTCATTTTTTTTTTTTTTTTACCATTTTTTTTTTTTTACCTTCTGATGGTTTAAATTAGTTATTATAAAATGAGGGTTTGAAATCGCACACTAATAATATATGTTTGTTGCTTTCCCGAATAAGTGCTATAATATGGGAAAGTAGTAATATACAGTAGTAAGATAGACTTTTTATATTATACTGTACCAACCTCCTTAAACTCATAGGGACACAAGTTTTAATGTCAGTTCTACTCTCTTTCTCTAGTTGTTTCAGTGTTTGGCCGTCTTCCCTAATGTTTGTGTGTTTTTCCTGTCTATCATATAATATGGTAGTAACCACTTTCTTAAGCCTACTAAAACTGCTTTGTACTTATTTTGTAGTGTACTGTAATTTAGGAGTGGAGTTAAATAGCTTGGTGGCTATGATGCTTGTTTTTCAGTCCCAGAGTTCTAAGTTCAATCCCTGTCACAAAACAGGATTTTTTCTCCTGACCAAAAACAACTGCACTCCACTTAGTTTATGTAAAGCATCTTGTGTTGGTTATATTTGTCTTGTGAAGGGATATGCCACTTTAGAAAAGTGATTAAGTTCACTATTTTGGTCTTGGGCCTAAGATAAAACAAAAAACAAAACAAAAAATTATTTTTGTTTCTTAAAATGACCTGTTGGTTATCAGAGCTGTAGCGTAGTGAAATAATGGTGATTAAGATTGCAATAGGGTAGCCTGGATTGAAATCCCCTAAACTTTCAAGACTTCTCATGACTAAAAAAAAAATTGCAGGAGTTAGAATACATAACTCTTTTTATGGGACTTGGCAATCACAATTATTATTAAATACCGTCTGTTATTGCTCATCCAACTAAGTCACAAGGATATCAACTTGTCAGTTTTGAATTAAGATATGGAGAAAAACTATCCACACTTATACAGTACAGGCTAGTGGCATGCATGTCTATATAGCTTTATTGTGATATTAAAAAGCAGAACTTTGTTGAGTCACCTTCCTGAGTGGGCCTCACAATTGAATTTATCTTTAATTTGAAGAGGGATGGCAATGGGCTAGAAATGCATTCATCCTGCAACTCTAAATATTGCTCTGTCCTTAATGTTCCATTCATAATTTGCATTTTATCAATCAAATAGTTGGGGATTTTTTTTTTTTTTTTTAAATTCTACCTACACAGATCAATAATATTTTCCTTCTATGTTTTACAGCTACAGTATAACATTTCGTAGACAAAATGAATTATAAAATATTTTACTGCGGTTACGTCACTGGCCATGTACGTCACATTTGTTTAATGTCCACAATATTTTAATTATATATGATAATCATCATCATTTATATATATGTATATATATAGGAAGTTTTGAAAAAAATATTTATTTTTTATCTGTAGGCTTTTCACATACAAGACAAGGAATTCAACAAACCAAGTTTCCTGAGTCGTTCATTCGTAGCATTCATATTATTTAATATAATGTTAGCAATACTACTGGTAGCTCAGCTGCTTACCACACATCTTAAGGAGGACCCACAATACTTAAGTGACGTCTTTAATGGATGCTTTGCATGCTTAATGGTTATCGTTATGATTTTCTTCCTGTTTTACGGAGTGGAGGTATATTTCAAGGCAAGTGGCTTCTAATCAGTATTGTGAATTCATCTTCTTATTGTGAATTTCTTAAGTATACGAAGCCTTAAGCCTGGCACTTGCAGCTGACCAGTAAGGGAAGGGCGCCACTAGCTACAGCCTTAACATCGGCGCTGGTTTCAGCCGCTCCTCGCCCTCGCCGGGCGCAGTTAGTACCCAACTTTCCTGTGAGGTTAGGAGGAATAAACATTTTTTAGTCCAAAACAATCTTGCATCTAAAAAACAAAAATATCATTAATTTACTGCCTTAGCAAAAGTTTTTATAACACCACCATTCAAACAAACTATATTCTGCCATCTGTTTCATGATTCCGTCTTCATTTAAAACACTACCCTCATTTCCATACCAAATAATATCATCTTTTTATTGATTTCACAGGTAAAAGGTGCCTTTAACAATGCAAGTTTGTCACTGGACCCTCGGACACTACACATGTCCAGGATAGGGCTGGTATTCCAGGGAGCATTGCAATTACTCACTGCTGCTTTCCTCATGATGAGTGTTGCAGACACCAAAGTATTGAACGAGTGCGTAATAATTATTAAATTTTGTTTTATTATTTATTTATTCTCAGTTCACATTCACAGTGGGGAGCCTGTCGCATATGGAAGGGAAACATAAACTAGCAGAACATTTAATGATGTTAAAATTGCTTAATAATGATAGTAATAATAATAATAAAATAAATAGTAATAATAATAAAATAAATAATAATAATAATAATTATAATAATAATAATAATAATAATAATATTAATAAGTACGTTTTTGTGTAGGGGTCTGCACACAAGTCTCAGAGTGTTTTTTTCACATTGTTACCTCAGTCATTCGGATGATGCCAATGGGCGAAGTTCCATATTTTGCCGCATGAAATATATTAGCGCATTTGCAGTCGAACCTAATCAGCTACCCATTTATACTCCTGGGTGGAGAGGAGCAACGCAGATAAACTGCCTTGCTCAAGGACACAATCAAAATGCACAGCGAGAGATTGAAACACTGACCCTGAGGTTGGGAAACCACTTCCACTTAGAATTTAAAAACCAGGCATTAACTTAATTTTATGTAGATTGTTTCAAAAGAACAGTGGGCTTAGAGAGGATACCCACATCTTGTTTTGGGCTCTCAGTCCATTGTGTCCTCTTGGCACTCCTCTGGTTGTTTCCTTGTAATTTTGTGCCGAATATGTAATGAATAGACAAATAAATAGAAGGATCTAGATCTTTAATTTTTACTATCTAAAGGATGAATAAACCCACATTACCTGATGAATTCAGGTTGTATAAATATTTATTATCAAGACATGCAAACAATAGATATGGTAGGTGTGTTTATCTGAGGAATTAAAGATTCATTCCATTTCTTATTTCCAGGATAAAATTGAGGAATTTCTATGATGTATTATTCCGAGTGGTGGAGCTTGGTGTTGCAATGTGGTTTCCATGTGTCTTGTGGAATTGTAAAAGGTAATGTACACAGTTATAGGACTTATAAACTGTGCATTATTGATGAAACTTTAGATAATGAGTTGATATGTTTGTTTTTCATTTTTTATATTTATTATCATTTTAAAATAATACACAAGCCTTATCTCAGTCACATTTCAAAAGGTTCATAATTGTTGTCTATAAAGTAATAATGGATGCAAAAAATATAATTATAGTAGTAATGGTTTGCTTTGTTAATATTTTTTAGGGTTCTGTTTTAAGAGAAGTATTGTTATTGACATTCATATGTCAGTGTGGTTTATAGACTATGAGCAATGTTGTGATAATGGTTTATCTGTGAATAAATGTTTAATCTTTTTCAGCCCTGAAAAATTATGGATATTAAATCCTACAAGAATATTAAGGAAAGCTGAAGATGAAGAAAATGTGGTAAGCATAATGGGTATAAGAGTAGCAAGGGGTGGGGAACCAGCGACAGAGGGCCAGAGTCAAGGCCCACCTCAGCCCCAACATGTTTTATTTTTCCCATCCAGACCTCTCTAACTGCTGGGCCCAGCAGGCCCACCTGCTGGCACTAAACTTTGTGATGACCTTAACTTGAATACAATTTCTAATTTTAAAATGAATATGAAAAATTAATAAAACGTATTACAGTTAACGATGTAAGTGTAGTTAAGATAATTTAGTTTAGATATTGTTAAGTTTCATTTCAGTAATATTGTTTTCTATTACAATTAGGCTTAATCTATTTTTACCATTTTGTTTTAATTTCTGTTTTATTAATTCGCACTGTCTCTGTGGCCTTACTGAAAAACACTGAGGTGAACAAGTATTTCCATGATTATACACACACACACACATATATAT